AACATCGGCTACGCAGTGCCTTCAGTCGTACTAGATCAGCGGGCATCTCTGCAGAATAGTTATACAAAAACTCATTAGCTCGAAAATCAAAGAACCTTCGATTCGTAACACGCAAAAACTGGGCGCTATTGCGTCTGACCAAGATAGTTCGTGCATGGGGAGAAAGCAGATGGTCAAAGAAACGAAGGAGCGCTTGTAAAGAGAGACGCCGATACGTACGCAGTCTTTGCGTGCTTTGATTCGCCTATACATCTACTTATATGTGCAAAGACATTAGAGAACAGCTGAGCATACGATAGAACTGGAAGAATGGGCTCAAAGTGCAAGAAAATTCCCGTTAATTTAGGTGATAGGTATCATAACTCCATATTCGTTTGAAGTACTCTTTTTCAATCCAAGTCCACTCACGATACTTGCAATCAGTGCATAAGAGTTGGCCATTGTAAGGGTAGTTCGGTGGGGTAAAATAAAAGTCATAAGATATATAACCTAAAAGTAAGATTTAGAGTGTAACGGTAGAATGAGGAAAACATTTGTTATCCAACCTCCAAGAAGATAGGTCTTTCCTTTTTCAAGTTTGACTTTTGCGCAGTCATCAGGAACGTACGATGAGAGGTAGATTGTTTCGCCATAGGGCTGAACGACTACAATTTTTAGACACTGAAGGTCAATCTCATACCACTTACGCGGAAAAACTTCAATATTTCTATCCGATACGGACACGAATCACTTCTTACTATGGCATGCACAGCTGAAAAGATTAACATAAAAAATGCGAAACTAAGTAGTACAAGCAAAACTGTTTAGTCTAGAAACTTATACAAAAATTTCTTTTGAACATACCAAAACGATCCCCAAGTATTTCTTCGATGCGTCCGAAAAGTCGCTTGTAAACATCAAAATAAGCTGCCGAAATGCACATGCACGTCGCGATTATAGCAATTTTAAGCATTTCGATTGAAGTCTGAAAAGCCTTATATGTACGGAATGTTACATAGCTGCTTACAAGAAAAGAATGTTCGAAGTTGTTCCAACAGTACTGCAATTTGTGTATGACGCGTTTTAGAGTTAGTTGGATGATAAAGCAGACTTACTACAACAGCTCTTTTATGTTCAATTGTGCTCAATGCGTTCAAAAACATCCATGCAAACCAAAATGTGAGATATCTCATTGTGTTTGCACTTTGCTGCTGAGCGATCAAAACGTAGCTCACATCTGAATTCATGCGAGCTTAAAGACACCATCCTTTTGAGTTTTAAAGGCAGCGTTCCGGCAAAGTTCGTTTTCCAGGTGTTCACCTTTCGGAACCTCCCGCCATGAGGAGCTCATATCTGGGCTTTTTCCATGTCTGCACTCAGCATATGCCGAAAGTCTTCGCCCCTCCCTTGTTTCGGACTCCACCCATTGTATGCGGACCCGCAAAGCTTGAGAAAAGGCTCATCTTCGCCATTTTCATGCGCTGAAAAGCCACATTGTTCCGAGAAGGCTCCGAAAAGGTGAAAACCTGGAAAACTAAATTCTGCA